GGGTGTGAGAAAGTGGTGGTGGCTGTTAGGCTCTGCCCAGGTAGTTATTGATGGAGTCCTTACCAGAACAGAGGGGTAGTTTTAGGAAGCTAAACGTGGCTGGAGAGGGAGAGGGAGAAGGGGCCCATTAGGCTTATGCAGAGGTCCCGTCCCCAGGCAAGGATGGGAACGGGGGAGGCAGTGGCAGGGACCCCTCAGGGCTGTGGGGTGCTTGTTCTGCAGGCTGCGCCTGGACCACAACCAGCCTGGTGTGGTAGATGCCCATCCAGGCCAGCGAATCCGGTTGACTTGTCGCGCTGAGGGCTTCCCACCCCCAACCATCGAATGGCAGAGAGATGGGCAGACCCTCTCTTCTCCCAGGTTGGTTCAGCCTCTCCTGTCCCCACCCCACCCCACCCTGTGCAGGCCACTGGGGGAAGGAGCTGCCAGGAGTCACCTCTGGTCAGTCAGGGGCTCTCTAGAGATGGAGCTGCTGGGCATAGGGACCTTGGGCCTTTCCAGAGCGTGGTTAGTGGACGGAAGTAACAGGGCAGGTAACAGGTGATGGCTGAGGGAGGAAAGGAGGCAGGCACAGGTCTGGCTGTAATGATAACAGCTGACGTTATTGCCCCACGTGAGCATGAGGCTTGTCTCCACCACACAATTTGCAAAAGGGCCATGTTGAGGTAGGTATTATTCTATCCTGATTTTCACACAGAAGCTTACTACGCACAGTCCCTAAGTGGCAGAACCAGGAATCGGGTCTACTAAATGAGTATAGCAAACACTAGAAACCCATGTTATTTTTTGTATAAACTTGAAATGATTTATTGCCAGGGTAAATGTCGGGCCCCTTCAAATAAATGAGAGTGCTGGCAGCTGGAAGCCAACTGGCCCCACTCTCACCCAGAAAAGGAAGACCCTGCCTCTTGCCCCCCCCTTCCACCCCCATGGGATGGAGCCCCCTGACACTGCTTGGTCCCCAGATACCAGCAGCAGCCCGATGGCTCCCTGGTCATCAGCCGAGTGGCTGTGGAAGATGGCGGCTTCTATGCCTGTGTTGCCTTCAGTGGGCAGGACCGAGACCAGCGATGGGTCCAGCTCAGAGTTCTGGGTAAGGTGCACTCCTGAATGGGTGACTGGGGCCAGTGGCCTGTGAGGTCAGGTGGCACAGTGGCTAACAGTGCCGCCTCCTTGGGCCCAGGAGAGCTGACGATCACCGGGCTGCCCTCTACTATGACAGTGCCAGAAGGTGACACAGCCAGGCTGCTTTGTGTGGTGGCAGGAGAAAGTGTGAACATCAGATGGTCCAGGTAAGGATCTATTCCAGGCAGGCCTGGCCGTCACACACACCCCTGAGGTTGTATAGCCTGAGCACAGGTGGTCCGCCTTTCTTCAGGGATGTTGCTGTCACCTCTGTCCCCATTCCCCCATTCTTCCACTCCTGCCTCCAGGCCTGGTGCCCACACAATGAGGCCCCAAAGGACTGCTGTCTTTTGTGTTGGTTGGGTCATATCACGGTTTCTCAACCACGGCACTATTGCCAATTTGGACCTGATAATTTTTGGTAGTTGTGGGGCTGTCCTGTGCATTTTAAGATATTTAGCAGCATCCAGGCCATCACCCACTAGGTGCCAGTGGTAGCCCCTCACAAGTCATGACAGTAAAAATGTCTCTAGATGTCAAATATCCCCTAGGTGGCAAAATCTCCCCTGAAGATTGGGAACCACTGGGCTATGCTCAGCTTTGGGGACTTCAGTGGCTTTTTACCCCAGATCATTTGGTCTGATTCACTCATTCAGCACACTCTTCCCTTCTTCCTCCTTGCAGAGTCAGGAGTAGACTCGGCTCTGGGGATTCTGGGGTGATCTGAGCCCCCTAGATACTCTCAGGCAGGAGATGGCCCAGTGCCCCTAAGTGCTGTCCGCGCACTGAGTGAGGCTGCCTCCCACCTGGGAGAATCAAGGAAGGGGTGGCCATGGAGGTGACTTCGGCTGGGCCTTGAGGCTGAAGAGGGGAAGGATGTTCCTGGTCAAGTGAGAGGTGGTGCTGGGATGAGTATGGGCCCTCCCCCTGGACTAGGCTGTATCTTCAACTTTGCCTCCCCTGGGTCTTCCCAGCTGCAAACATGCTCAGGACTCCCCTCCTCAAAACAGACCCTCCGTTTCCCTGCAGCCCGGCCTTCTATCGGTCTCTCCACAGCACTGCTGTTTATAGCTCTCGTTGTCCTCCCACATCCAGGAACGGGCTGCCGATACGGGCCGATGGCCGCCGTGTCTACCAGTCTCCAGATGGCACTTTGCTGATCCACAACCTGCGGGCTGGGGACCAGGGCTCCTACACGTGCAGCACCTACCTTGGAAGCCAGGCCGTCAGCCGCAGCACTGAGGTGAAGGTGGTCCCGCCAGGTAGGAAAGGCCTGCTTGTCCTGGGGCAGGCTCTCTGGCCCAAGTCCTGGCTCACTCTGCCAGTTACTGGTAGTGTGACTTAGGGCAGGGGTTAGCCTCCTGAGCCTCTCTCGCCTCATCTGTAGCGGGCTACTCCACTGCCTGACTGGTATAGTGAGGATGAAGGAAATAATGTGTATGACAGGCATCTGGTGATAGCTTAATAAATGATGCTATATATCATTTTTTAGACTTAGTTTTATTTTGAGAAATATGATTGATGGAACTTTATAATACTTAAGACAGACCATTAAAATCTGTTCATTCTAATTAGGGTGGCAAAACATGGTCCTACGATTGGAAAGTGCCTTTATGGCCCTTTGACCACATAATCCAGAAAGGAAAGGGCAGGGATTAGTGTCACTGTATTACACACGAGACAGATGTCTGGAGAGCTCAAGTGATGTTTCCACAGGTCATGCAACAAATTCATGGCCAAGTTGGTGCTAGAACCTAGGTCTTTCGACTCCTCATACTAATGTTCTTTTCATTGAACTATTACACCTGGAAGTGGGCAGAATTTTACTTGCATTATCAGTAATTTGATATTTCAGCCTTATATTATCCAGCTCTCACTCTGAGTTATGTTATCAAATTTCAACAAATCTCAATGCCATGTTGTAAGATGCATTGTTTTCATACCACTAAGGAAAACAAAGCTGTCAATTCAATGCTAAGACACCATTAATACGCAGTCCAATTTGACAGGTATTAAAATATGAAAATTAGAGCATCTCAGAACTGATGAAACAGACTGGTTTAATGTTCAAATTCACAAGAGCTCTAGGTTCAAATAAGCCCAAGGGACGGGGGAAGCAAGCTCTGCTCTGTGTCCCAGCCTGCCCTCCCATGTACCTTCAATCTAGGTTCACCGTCTGAGCAACAGGGCCATGCCCGGGGAAGGATGTGCCAGGGCGAGGGCTGCACCAGGAGCACTGTTACACTCGGGGTGCAGGCCCCGCTGCCTCCTGGCTGCCAGAATGAGGGTGGGAACTGGTCAGTGCTGGAGGCTGAAGGTCCATGGTAGGAATGTTGCTTAGTGAGTTGGGCTGACACCCAGGCTTCCAGTCTGTGAGCTGCTTAGAACAGTGACTGGGACTCAAGGCCCAGCCCAGGGATTGGCATCACTAGGTGCTCAGATGCTTGGTGACAGCCCCCTTGGCAGGGGCTACCTTTGGCCTCTGATAATGCCCAGCAAATCGATCTCTTGTCTACATAATAATCAAACTTAAAAAAACTTGAGACAAACCAGAATGCAGAGTTGAGAAAGAGAGCTGTTAGGATCCTGACTGTCGTGTTTGTGATTAGCTGTAGAACATGTCTATATGGGAAACCAACTTACAGTTAGAAACTTGCCTGATGAGGGCTGGTGGGGCTCCTCCTGACATAGTTGCCATACTGAATGGTCTGCTGTGACCTACCTCTTGGAACCAGCACTACAGCCTCAGTTGGACACTTTTGTTCCACCCATGCTGGACTAGAGTGTTGCTAATCTTAGATATTTTGGGGGCATCTTTTTTGACTAGAAGTGGTCTCCTTCCTAACTGTATTCATTCCATGGATTAGGCTGCAGCTATCTGCTCTCAGCCGTTTTTTTGGTTGCCCTAGTCATGGTTTGGTGGGCGGGTGGTGCTTGAGCCAGTCACTCTAGAATAAGGGAAATACTTCTATTGTTAGGAGTCTCATCCTTTTTGCCTAAAAGATTGGTTAGAAACAGAAAATACTTATGGATAAAACACAGGGCACCACTCATTCTTTTAAGTGAGAGGGCATGAGGCTATGGTTACTGTGTGCCCAAAGTCAGCCAGCTGGTAAGTGGGAGAGCCAGGACTGCGCCCATGAAGTCTGGCTCTGGAGCGCTTACCCACGATGCTGAGCCCCTCTTAACCTCTGGGCCCTGTGATAGGCCCAAGGGCTGCAACAGCTGAGATAAAGTTGATATGAAAGGTACTGATTTTTAAATCATGTGCATAAATGGCTTGCTGTTCATGTAAGTAGGTAGCAGCACTCTGGTTATACTGACATACCAAACCTCTATAGTCATGGGCTTTTTGTCGTACTTTGGAAGGAAGCACAGGGGAGAGGGGATAAGCCTTCCCAGGAGGTCTGACTTTAGGGAAGGTGCCACTCAGTCCTAAGCCAAGTGGGGAGCTAAAGCCTCTTCCAGAAAGAAAAGTGAAGTAGATAGGCCACTTCAGTCCTAAGATGAAGCAGTAGAATGAAACTCTCGCGGGGTTTGTAAGATACAGAGCTTCTAGTAAATGCCGAGGAGGTGACCAGTGCTTTGTGCTCAGTACAGTATTAGAGCATCACTCATAGGACTGTTTCCCTATCACCTTGCCTAATACTCGCTTTCTCAGCAGAGAAGAGGAAGAACTGGAAAGATGGGGAAAACTAAGTGACTAAGATACATTGGGACTACTGAAGGTACAAAAGTTTTGAGGCTGGAGGAAAGCAGCAGTGAGAGGGCGAGATGGCACTTGCCACTCAAAATTTTCCTTAGGGCTACTGTTCTCCCAGTCTAGAGGCTAAGGCAGCTGTCATTCAGCTCTTCAGGTCTCAGCAGTAAGGGTAGGGAGTTAACTCTAAGAGATGTTTAATCATCTAGTCGTCAGTCAATATTGGGAAGTCTGATGGGCTGTGCTGAGGTTGCAAAAGAATAAAGGGAGGACCTCTGCATGCTAAAGTAGAGCCAGCAATGGGTGGAAATGGACTTCCAGTTAAGATGGTGGAGTAGGTAAACGTGCTCATCTCCCATGATCACATCAAATTATATAACCACCATTTATCTGAACAGAAGTCCTATAACTAAGGATATAGAGAAAAAGCCATGACTCAGAAAACTGGTAGGAAGGGCAGAGTGGCACAATGGGCAGGTCCCACCCCCACAGTGTGGTGATTAAGAATTGGGAGGGATATCTTGGCTTCAGAGGTCTCCCCTGAGTAGTGAGGGACTACTACCTGCCCTGAGGCACCAGTGCCAGGAAGAGGAATCCCCGTAACATCTGGCGGTGAAAACCAGCGGGAATTGTGTCCAAGTGAGATGGAGGGCCGATGGAGTCCCAGTGGTCCACTGGAGGGGCCCATGCACTACTAACTCGCTCACAGACTCACTCATTCTGGGCTCCAGTGCTCGGGAGGGGGGGGCAGCAGCTTGAAGAATGCCAGGGGCATACGGGGAAGACATGAATTGACTGGCAGCAATCTCTGGGCAAGAACCCTTGTTCCTTTGTTAAGCCCTCCCTGCATCCAGCTGGCAAGGGGGAGGGGTGTGCAAATCTGAGCTCTCCATTAACCTGGCTAACACTGTTTGCCCTGCCCAGCCCAACTCATAGCCAGCCTGAGCCATGCCAGCAGGGCTATCGGTTTCATTTTTATACACCAACAACAAACTATCAGAGAAATTAAGAAGATAATCCAATTTACAATTGCATTAAAAAGAATAAAATACCTAGCTAAGAATAAATTTAACCAAGGAGGTAAAAGACCAGTACTCAGAAAATTGTAAGACATTGATAAAGAAATTGAGGAAGATACAAATAAATGGAAGAATATATCATGCTAATAGATAAGAATTGACATGTTAAAATGTCCATATCACCCAGAGCAATCTATAGATTCAATGCTATCCTTATCAAATACCAATGGCATATTTCACAACTGGAACAAATAATCCTAAAATTCATATGGAATCACAGGAGACCCTGAATAGCCACAGCAATCTTGAGAAAGAACAAAGTTGGAGGAATCACACTACCTGATATCAAACTATACACCTATACTACAAGGCCAAAGTAATCAAAACAGCATGGTACTGGCATAAAATCAGACACAGATTAATGGAACAGACTAGAGAGCCTAGAAATAAACCCACGCCTATATGGTCAATCTATGACAAAGGCAAGAATGCACAATGAGGTAAAGACAGTCTCTTCGATAAATGGTGCTGGGAAAACTGGACAGGTACATGCAGAATAATGGAGCTGCATCATTTTCTTACAGAACTCAAAAAGATTAAAGACTTAAATATAAGACCCAAAACCATAAAACTAGAAGAAAACATAGGCAGTAAACTCTTTGACATCACTCTTAGTAATTTTTTCTTGGATGTCTCCTTGGGCAAAAGAAAAAAACAAATGAGACTACATCAAACTAAAGAATTTTTGCACAGCAAAAGGAACCATTAACAAAATGAAAAGACAACCTAGTGAATGGGAGAAGATATTCACCAATGATACACCCAATAAAGAGTTAATATCCAGAATACATAAGGAACTCATAAAACTTAACACCAAAACCCCCCCAAACAACCCAATTAAAGAATGGGCAGAGGTCCTAAACAGACATTTCTCCAAAGAGGACATACAGGTGACTAATAGACATGAAAAGATGCTCAACATCACTAATCATGAGGGAAATGCAAATTAAAATCACAATGAGAGATCACTTCATCCTGTCAGGATGTCTATTTACAATAAATCAGCAAACAATGTGTTGTCAAGGACATGGAGAAAAGGGAACCCTCGTGCACTGTTGGCAGGAATGCAGATTGGTGCAGCCACTATGGAAAACAGTATGGAGATTTCCTCAAAAAGTTAAAAATACAACTGCCATATGACCCAGCAATTTCAATTCTGGGTATTTATCCGAAGAAATCCAAAACACGAATTCAAAAAGACATACGCATTCCTATGTTCATTGCAGCATTAACAACAATAGCCAAGATATGGAAGCATCCTAAGTGTCCATTGATAAATTATTGGAGAAAAATGTGGTACACACACTGGAATATTACTCGGCCATAAAGAATGAAATCATGCCATTTGCAACATTGATGGACCCAGAGGGTATTATGCTAAGAGAAGTCAGACAGAGGAAGACAATCCATATGATTTCACTTATATGTGGAATCTGAGAAACAAAATAAATGAACAAACAAAACCAGATACAGAGAACAAACTATTTCCAGAGGGGAGTTTAGGGGGGTGGGTGAAAAAGGGGAAGGGATTAAGATGTACAAATTGTCAGTTATATAAACAGTCACAGGAATATAAAGCACAGCATAGGAAATATATAGTCAATATTGTAATAACTAGGCATAGTGTCAGATGGGAACTAGACTTATCGAGGTGATCACTGTAAATTATATAAATGTGTAACCACTATGTTGTACACCTGTACTATAATATTGTATGTCAACTGCAATTAAAAAAAAAGAATGGGTGGAAATTGTGATCCCTCCTTGTAGTTGTACATACAGGTGTTGAAAGGTTACAGAGTAACTGCATTTGGTGGGAATCTGGCAGTCACAGTGCCACTTTCCTTTGAAGGAAATGAAATGGTGTGTGAGAATTTTCAGCGCACAAAGAGCTTCCTTACCACTTTCTCGCTCCCTTGTTGTTTTGCAGCACTGGCCGCCCAGCCAAGGGACCCCAGCAGGGATTGCGTGGACCAGCCGGAGCTGGCCAACTGTGAGCTCATCCTGCAGGCCCGGCTCTGTGGCAATGAGTATTACTCCAGCTTCTGCTGTGCCAGCTGTTCCCGTTCCCAGCCTCATGCTCAGCCGGCCTGGCAGCAGGGATGAAGGCTGGCTCTAGCCCCAGTTCTGAAACAACTCAGGGCTGGGGAGAAGGGCAGGGAGACTCTCGCTCTCCCCTCTGTGGCTGGCAAAGGGAGTTATCTCCTGGAGACATTGCCCTCTCCTATCCCCATTCCGCCCATTTAGCTTCAGCAGCTGCCAGACCAGCTTCCCTGACAGGACCACAGGTAGCTGTGTGGTCAAGAAGAGAAATCTGGATAAGGACACCCTTCACGTTACAACTTGCTGTCAGGTTCTCACTTCATTTAGAGCTGGATAGGGAGGGGCATAACCATTTCAGTTAACACTTACCTAACTCCTGCTGTGACAGGGAAGGATTCTTTGCTAGAACTAGATCTGGGGTCAAGCAGGCTATTGCTGTAGTCTCTCAGCCTTCTAGGTAGTAAATAGCAACCAGCTTCAAACCCCTCTATGTATAAGGTTAATAGCATAACGTTTGTGAAAGCTTTCAACAAAGCAAGGCTCAGTATAGGGATTTGGGATGAAAGAGGAGCAGCTGCATTATTATCTGAGCACGAAGGAACTGGAAAGGCACCTTCCTTTCATTGGGCAGCTGGAGCCTGAAGCCCTCCTGAGGCCGACACGCAGGGCTGGCTGTGGGGACAGCCTCACGCCTGTATGGAGATGATCTGTGCGCCTGCTCTGTAGTGGGACCACCAAGGAGCCTCTCCTCAAGTAGGAATCTGTGAAGCAAAGTGTTTGCTGCCAGATAAAAACAGCAACAGCAGGATGGGGGGAACAATGGAGGGGAGGGCAACGTAATAAGCGGCTTTAGAAATGGCTTGAGTTTGTGGAAGTCATTCTTCATCTCAGAACCTCCAGTTCCTTGCTGCTAAAATAAGAGGCCTGGATTCAGTGAGCTTCCGAGTCTTTTTCCACTTGAACTTTCTACAAATCCTCCCGAGGGTTGGCTGGAGCCTAGTGACAGAGGTTATTTGGGGACACAGGAAAGGTTTTTTAATTACCATGATGCTGGCTGGGTGAGAGACACATGGGCCAGAGCACAGGTCTTCTTTCCATTTAAAAAAATATTAAGGAGCACTCCCTTTGATTTACCATGGCTGGTTTTGCTATAGAAATTGGAAAAGGGCTACTTTCTTGGACTCCCCAGTTCTTTAAACCAGTATTTGGCCTACTGGTGACATATTTTCAGAAGGTAAGTTTGAGATTAGCCAGCTCTTCTTGGAACTAATCACAGAATAGTGGGCTGAGGTTCAAGGTGTGAGTAAAACTCCTCTAAACCACTGGTTCTCAACCCTCTCCACACTGGGGGGAAAAACTGACCCAGGGGTTCCACTCTCCAGAGATCTGAATTTAATTGGTCTGGAGTATGGGCTGGGTATGAGGATTTAAAAGCGCCCCAAGTGATTTTGATAAACATCCAAAGTTGTGAATCACTGCTCCAGCCCTGGACATCTGATTGAGAATCTTGTTCAAATGCACATTCTGCTTACAAGGTCTGGGGTGGAGCTGAGATTCTGTCTCTCTAACCAGCTCTTAAGCAGCAAGAATCTGATGTTAGAGATGCATTTAGGATCAACCAAAGCCTAAAGAATGAACAAAAATACGAATTCTAAGAATATACTAGAGCCCTGGCCGGTGTGGCTCAGTTGGAGTGTCATCCCGTACACTAGAGGGCTGTGGATTTGATCCCTGATCAGGGCACATACCCAGGTGGTGGGTCCAATCCCCAGTCCAGGTGCGTGAGGGAGGCAGCCAGCCAAGCGATGTTTCTCTCCCCCGTTCCTCTCTCTAAAATCAATTTAAAAATATATAAAAATACTAGAAAATAAGATTTTCTAGTCACCAAACCAGAGAGCAGCAGCAGAATGGAGAAAGAGCAAGACCAAAAAGAACTAAGTGAACTGCTAATAAAGAAAAGGGGAAAGAACAGCCCTTCATGGGCAAAAGCTTCTACCACGAACATTTATTTTTGTTAAAGCAGATTATAAATTCTCATCAGTACAAATATATATAACTTACATTTGATTGTAAGGCCAACGTTCAAAAGTAAAAATGAGATGGGATCTCACGTTGTTACCAGAGGTCAAGTGGCTGCAACTGGCAACAGGATGGTCTGTTCACCACCAGGGAGGGGGAGGGGAAGGGGAACGGACAGACACAGACACGGACACACCGACACCTCCCCCCCTAGTAAAACCAGAAATTCCATCCCCGCAACACTCATGGGAACAGAACTTCAAGGACAAAACGAAACCCACCAAGACCCACATGACAAACCAACACAGTAACCTGCGTTCCAGTCTATGGATATGATGTCACTGTCACCTTAGTGTTAAAACACAGTAAAGGATTAACATAAGGAAACTGCAGCAATATATAAAAGAAAATACATATTCTCTATAGAGCATATTTAGAATGATTCCATTAAAATAATGACATTAGAATTTCAACATAGGTTTAAACCAGGACAACACTACTCTTTCATTTTCTTTATTTAAACTACAACCTAGTGACGGTATTGGTCATAAGCATGATTGTTGTTGCAATGTGCTACTTACAATGACTGATAACCAAATAAGCTGGGGATCCCGCCTGCACCTCCAGCTTTTCCTCTTTCTACTTCAATAGGCATCAATGATAAATCAATCTTATGTACAATTTCTTACAGCTAATCCTTTTACCTTTGGCAAAGATTACTTACAACTCATACAACTTTTTAATATTGAGAACTATTTAAAATATTCTAAATGCATAAAAATAAAGATTTTGGCTTTTTTGATATATATTTATAATATTTATTCTTACTCAAAATGGAAGCTCAACTTTAACCCTAAAATATAGCTCTGCTGGGCAGCTGCTGATGCACCCTCCTGGGATTCTGCCTCTCATCCCCGGCCCAAGCACAGGCCACCCTGTTCTCGATCTCCAAGACGGGCCAGTACTGAGAGGAGGCAGGTGCACGGCCTGAAAAGCAAAGGGAGATCGTTTTGCTTCCCGTTGTGTTTTATATTCCAGTAAATGTGCTTTGAATACAGATCCCTGTTCAGATACATCTGCCTCTCTGTTGCCAGAGATTTGTAAGGGGACGAGGCAGGAGGAGAGGGGGAAGGGCAACATTTTCTTAACTTCTTTAACCTAACCTGGGACAGCTCTTCTCTAGGAATGGTTTTCTCCACTTTTTTTTAAAAGACCCCCGCACAGCACCCCGTGCCTGGACATGCTCCTTGAGACCTTTGGGATTAGTGAAAAAGTGTACTGATTTGGGGACACAAAGTCTCCTTTGCTCCTTTGACCTTCACCCCCCCTTGCCTAAGTACGGACACATACATTAGCCATAGGGACTGCTCAAAGTTCAATTTCAAATGTCTTCTGTAAGTCACTGGAGAAAGGGTTGGTGGGGGAGGGGTTAGTACGCTGCTTGGACTTGCTTTCTAATGCAGCCCACTGGGCTTCAAAAGGATCCACAGGGCAGGTGCCTGTAGGAACCTCTGTGTGCTTGTCTCCTGAGGCCAACCTGCCATCGTCTACACCATTGAAAGCTGCAGAACCGTTGAAGTGCTCAGCAGGAGGCTTAAAGAATGGACTGGCAGTAGCACTGCTCGTCTCATACTGAGGGAATGTCTGCTGCTTGACCAGGCTGGGAGACTGATGGGGGTGGGCAGCCTGAGGGTGGCTTGCAGTGCCAAACACATTGGCTACCATCTGGGAGGGAGTGATGCCCACCACAGGCACATTAGGGGCAGGATAGGGCATCCCATTGGACACAGGATAGGCCTGGGCAGGGACAAAGGCTGGCTGCAGGGGCGGGACCACACCCACTGGCACGGGCTGAGAGGCGAGGAATGCATTCCTTTGGAAAGGCGGCGCTGGCTGGGAAACGGCAGTGGGTGGAGGCGGCTGGAGGACTGGCTGTAGAGGGACAGCTGAGGCTGGGGGTTGCTGAGCCCGGACACTCTTGGACACCTCTTCTAACCAGCGATCAGCTTCAGAGGGAGTACGTCTGTGACCAGCCTGGAAGAGACCTGGAGAAGCAGCACCCGAAGATTGACCCCACTCGGTCCCTGGAACCAACATGAAGAGAGAAAAGAATCAGTCTTTAGGAGGTTCTTCCCTCACTTGAGAACTTTGGTTATTTGAATGATCCTAACGTGGAGCAAATCCCTCTAGTGGGATATTTTGTTACTAGCTGCGGAGGTTTTGAGGTAGGACTAAGAACCTGTCAGACCATGCTTCTGTCTCAGCCTTAAGGAGCTATCTAGATATGGCTCAACTGCATTCAACCAAAGCAGCTGGCTGGCATAGGAAACCCCTCCCTGTCGCTGTGGCTTGTCCATGGAACAGAAACCACCTTGCACATGCTCCAGAGGGCCCAAGGTGACTCACCTTCTGCTCTGACAGAACAAGGAGAAAATAATCAGTGACTTGGTGCTGGACCTTGTGGCCCTTGCCTGGCTTCCGAGCACGTTGCTTTTCTGGTGAACTGCCTTTATTACTATTTAACATTTTTTTGGTTTTATGGTTAAATGTTCATTATAGAAAAACTAGAAAGTACAGAAAAGCATAAAGTGCTTTTTATAGATCTTTTCTTAGGCCTGCCATTATAGGAGGCAGAGTCCCCTCATCATACAGGCACGTCCACGTATCTCCGAACCCAGTGACAGACTCCCTCAGGGTTGGGCCCAGGAATCTGCATTTTATGAATGTTCTATGGGAGATTCTGTTCTATAGTCTTAAGAACGATCAATTTAACCTCTTTAGTTCTTTCTCCTTCCCCATCCTTTTTAAATAGTTTATTTTCAGGAGGGAACATACTTCTAAAAGGACTTCTCTCTGGTTCCTACTCAGGCAAGTGGCCGATTTTCAAACCAGGGCCACTTATCTGATCCCAGAATCCTCACCACCATCTGTGGCCACCTTACCCGAATGTGTGGCTGCAATTCCCTTGTTAACAGCATCAAGGGCATGAGCCCAAGGGTTGGTTTCACGCACAGGCATTGCTACGGGTGCTAGAGCAGTATGGGCTGGCTTAGCAGCAAGCACATGGAAGGCTGAGTCAGTGCCATTAGCTACAATGGGAGCAGACAACATCAATGGAGTTAATTCATGCAGGGTGCACAGGTGACCCCTTGCAGCCGGGTCAGTCAGGCCAATGTGCAATACTGGTGGAATAGAAAAGCTGGTGTAGGAATTACCATACCATCTTGTAATGGATACACAAACCTTTTGGCAAAGGGGGAATTAGAGGTTGTAATGAAAATGGCTATACTGAAAAAGTTAAATAACTGTTCTAGGAAACTATGTGTATGGGGAGAGAGGAAATGAAGCCTAGAAAAAACTTTATATTAAACTGAACAGAGCAGCTTTGTCTTACAAGCAGCAAAACCCCAATGATTAGCCTTTGGCATAATGATGTAAATGAAGCATTTCCCTCTCCTACCACTATTCCAAAAGATCAAGTTACAGCAACAATAACAACAATGGGATAAATATGATGATTCCATATTATGTGCTATCTCATTTGATTCTCTCAAAAACCTAATAAGGCTGGTATTATTCCCATATTATAGATGAGAAATCAAACTTGGTATATGTTTTCATTTGCTTAATAAACCTTTAATTGGCTAATTAATTTCATCTTCCTTTTTTGAAGATTTTTTCCCCTTGGTAATGTTCATAATATCTCAAAGCACCTACTATTCTTTTCTTGTCTTTATCAAAATCTCCTGACCCTGCTCCTTTGCTCAAGGCATCTATTCCATCAGTTTCTATTCCTCAGCCCAGCTATCATATTTAGTATGGAACAGACAAGCAGGTACCTTCCCCTGCCCTACACTGTAATCATTCCCTCTTTAGGACTGGGCAACCATGCTATGGCTTTGGTACTAAAAGACTAGCTTGTCTAAAAGACTAGCTCACCCTTAGACTGGGAGCCCCTTAAAGGCAGGGAAAGGACTATGTTCTATTCAGTTTTACACCCACTGCCTTGTGAACAGGAATACAGTCAGTAACAGGTACTATATCCGGAAAGACCTGGGTTTAAATTCTGGCTGTATAAGTTGGGCAATTTACTTAACCTCTCTGAGCCTCATTTTCCTTCTCTGTAATGCTTACCTCAAATGGGTGGTTGTGGGGATTAAATTAGATCAGAACATGCATGAGTCCTTACCATGATGTGGTATGAGGCGCTGTGTGTTCAATAAGTTGTGCCGATCATTATTGGTATTATAAATATTTATCAGATGGAATGAAAAGCTATTTGGTGAGCATGACTATAAAGGTATAAAGGTTTGTTTTGTTTTTAAAGAGATTCCTTGGAGGAAAAGCATGTAGTAGCTTACTTCCACAGGAGCAGGGTACTGTCTCCACAGAAGGCTTTTTCTGAGCTCTCAAAAGAAATGAAGAAATGGTAATTATAAGGAGGTCAAATTCTAAAAGTCTGTAAATTAAGTTATACAGACTCTTTGCTGACCTCTGAGTTAATACCAACTGCTAACTCTGTAGCTCTGAAAACAACTTTTAGTATCTCTTTAATGCCACGAAGTCAAACTTTAGGACACTTGTTATAAAAGATGAAATGAACTAAAGGGCCAAAAGAAGAACCTTTTTCTTTATGAGCCTCTTGAGACAGGGTAGAGACTAGATGAGTTCAGGGCTTCTCAACCTTGGCATTATTGATTTTTTTGGGCAGGGTAATTCTTTGTTGTGAGGGCGGCTAGCCTGTGCATTGAAGGATGTTTAGTAGCATCCCTGGCCTCCACACACATGCCAGTAGCAATCACCCTTTACCAAGTTGTAAAATCCCAAAATAAAAAATGTCTCCAGACAATGAATGCAAAGTTTTCCCTGAGGGGCAAAACCACCCTGGGTTGCAAACCACTATGCTAACGCGTAACGGGAGAACCAACTCTGATGACTGCTTCGGGAGAGCCAACTCTGATGACTGCTTCGGGAGAGCCAGCTGGATCCCCTGCCTCTTAACAGTGAGGTGGCAAATGAAGCAGTGGGTTGGGACTATAGCTCCTAACAGAGCAGGATGAAAGACAGACAAGTACATGCGAAATGACAGATGCAGACACCTTAGGAAACAGGAAGGGGAACAGAGCAAGGATACCGTTGAATAGGGAAATGAATCAATCTGAGACATTATCAAACAGGGAAATGAACGGGTCTGACCAGCTCTTGGAAAGCTCAGGATGCCAACTTACAGTTAGTGAGCAGCGTCATAAAAATGCTAGTTTCAAAGAGAGCAGCTGAGCAGGCTGAGGGCACTAACCTTGAAAGGCAGGAGACTGTGGTGCCACCACTGTCACTGGTTTGGTCATTGGGGCGGATGAGAAGGGATCCTCGGAGGGTGTGCTGAAGGCATTCGTGATCTGTGAACACAGGGAGCTGATACTCTCTGCTTCTCCTTCTACCTCTGGCACTGCAAGACAAACAGGAAATGGTTCCAGACCAAAACCCTGAAATTTAACAGTATGATTCAAGGTGGCATTTATACTGCATCTCTTATTTGTGAAAGGAAAAGTCTCAACTACCAAGTGGGGCTATACAGCTTCAAAAAAATTACCACTACTTCACTGGCTTTTTGGATGAGGAGGTGGAAAATGTCGACAATTCAGCCCTAGCCGATTTTGCTCAGTGGTTAGAGCATCCTCCCTTGGACTGAAGGGTCCCGGGTTCGATTCTGGCCAAGTGCACGTACCTCGCTTGCAAGCTAGATCCCCAGCTCTGGTTGGGGCTCGTGCGGGAAGCAACCAATGGATGTGTCTCTCTCACACTGATGTTTCTCTGTCTCTGTCTCTCTCTCTGCCCCCTTCCCCTCTCTCTGAAAAGCAATGGAAAAAAATCCTCAGGTGAGGGTTAAAAACAAACAAACAAACAAAATAAAATGTCAACAATTCATGTAATAAGGTCTATCTTCTTCCCTTGCAAATTCCCAGGTTCCTTTATTTCCTCCCGTGTGACACTGTTGAGAAGCTGGTGTTCTCTTTCTGTGCCAAGATGTTAGCTAGATGTATCTGGAACACATGAGTGACCTGTTTGTCTACCCAACCAGTTCACAGGGCTGTGGTGTGAGTTAACCTCTGTAGCTATTTAGTAACTATCAGAAAATGGGTTAAAGTCAAGGGCACCAGTGGATGCTCAGTTGTTTTCTCTGATAAGCTATGACAATGTCATCACTCATTTTCCTCCAAAGTACCAAGTATATGAACTGTGATAACATGAAAAAATGAACTGAGGTCCAGGACTCTTGAGCCTTTGTTCTTAATATTGACTCTGGGCCTGGCCGGGCGTGGTTCAGTGGCTGAGCGTCGACCTGGGATCCAGGCAATCGGGGTTCGATTCCCCGTCAGGGCACATGCCCAGGTTGAGGCTCAGTCCCCAGTCGGGTGCGTGCAGGAGGCAGCCAATTGATAACTCTCTCATCATTGATGTTTCTATCTCTCTCTCCCTCTCTCCTCTCCCTGAAATCAATAAAGATATATTTTAAAAAAAAGAAATATATA